CCGTGAATTCACTCGCCGCGCTGTCGCCTTTAAGCCACGACGCTGCAGCGCTGTGGAGAGGGGGGAGGGGAAGGGTGTGCCCCGCCCTGACCCGTCGCCCCTCACCGGCAGCCACCGTACGCGAGAAGGAGTGGGACAACATCGCGGCCGTGCACCGCGGCCTCAGCCAGGTCACCACGTGGTCGTTCGACCGTCAACGCATGGGCGATCACCGGCTGCAGCCGTCGCGACCCGAGCGGCCGGCGGCGCGCGCCGCCGCCTCGGTACGGCACTGATGGCGTTGTGGGGGGGGGGGGAGGGGCGGGGGAGTTGCCGGGGATTGACGGTGGCTTATTGAGGGGCGGCTGGACGCACGCCTTGTGTAGAAACTTCGCCGTAGTTGCTGCACCAGTCATCTCGCCTGTGATTGGTTGCCCCTCCGTGACGCTGTCTTTGTCCACCGTTGCTCTGATTGGCTGCACTGTGCTGCTTGGTGACGTGTCTCTGATGGCGAGATAGATCACCAGGCAGGTGCTGTCTGATGGTGTATCTTTGGTACTGTCTGAGCGACGAGTTTCGTTGTAGTACCTAAAATCAGATCGGCAAGATACAATCTAAGCTGATGGATCTGTCACATACCGCGTTCGTGGGAATGATGTAGCTGTTTTTCCTACCCCCAGTGTGTGGATGTTACGGCCTGTGGTAACTTTGTGCTGATTGGCTACGAAACGGGTCACGTGGATCGCTACAACATACAGTCGGGGCCTCGCGGCTCCTACGGGGATCCAGGTACGTTTACCATGTAGGGACGCCTGCACAGTGCCTGATACACCTGAGCAGTCCCGTTGTTCTTGTTTATTGCAAAGTGATGGCCTGGGATATTTTGCTGCGCCACACTTGGTAGCATGCTGCCGTCTGCGAATTTCAGAGGGCACGAAATTTCTATGGATGTCTGTATGACAGCTCATGTGTATTGTGGTGTGGTGGCCACAGATGACCCACCGCTGATCTCATCGGGCCCCTGCTGACCCCTGCTGATCCCTGCCGATCCGTGCTGGCCTGTGCCGACCCCTGCTGACCCCTGCCGACCCGTGCTGACCACAGGTCATGAGGGCAGCGTGCGCGGCGTGGCGTCGACTGCGCTGGTACACCAGGTGATGTCGGCTGGCGCCGACTCCCGACTCCGCTTCTGGCGGCTCAAGACGGGCCAGCTGCTGCACACGCTGGGGCTGGACGCTCCCGCCGCTCGACTCGTCCTCCACCGAGAGAGGTACGACGCTCGTCGTCGGCACTGGTCCGCACGCTTCGTTCCCGCGGATGTCGCCCTTTGTTAACTCTGCAATGGCCCGGAGCATCGCAGTTTTTCGTGTCGAGCTGTGTTCATTAAACTGAGTTTCATTGAGGCCGATCGGAGTCGCACGCCCTGCGTTCGGTGTGTTGGTTATCTTTGCTTTCATTTAGTCGAACGGTGCACAGCTTGTGGCGCCCAGGCTGGGCGTGTGCATTCCAGTTGCGCGATGTTATGTGCGTTCCCATCGAGTCGCCGGCTGCTGTATGAATAAATTGTCCCGGCTCGCCTTCGCTGAGCCTTCGCTTTCGATGAACTTCCGTGCACATGTGAGGATTTGTTTTGTGCCAATAGTGTCCTGACCCGCCACGACCGCGGTCATCGCCCGCCGCCCGTCTGCCGACCAGCCCCACGCGTCGGCCGCGTGACCGCCCCTCGCGTCCTCCCCCAGCTCGCTGGCTGGCTGTGGCGCTGGACGGACTTCTCGGCGTGCGTGTGGTGGACGCGGACGGCCGGCGCGTGGTGCGCCGCTTCGCCGGCCACGCCGGCCCGCTCACACCCCGACCTGTGCCTCTCGCCGGACGCGCGCTGGCTGCTGACCGCCGGCATGGACTGCTGCGTACGCGTGGGGAACCTGCCGCAGGCGGCGCTGGTCGACGTGCTGCGCACCGCCACGGCGCCCACCTCGCTCAGCCTCGGCCCGGCCGGCCGGCTGCTCGCCACCACGCACGTGGACGACGCCGGCGTGTACCTCTGGGCCAACCGCACGCTGTTCGACTGGGTGAGCCTGCCGCCGCTGCCGGCCGACTACCTGCCGCGGCTGTGGCGGCGGCGCCGGGCAGCGCCCCCGACGACGGCCTCCCTGCTGACGGCCGAGGAGGCGCAGCAGGAGCCGGAGAAGACGGAGGAGGCCGAGGAGGAGTTCCAGAGCGGGGCGCAGCTGGCTGACCAGCTGGTGACGCTCTCACTGCTGCCGGAGTCGCGCTGGGCGCACCTGCTCAGCGTGGACGCCATCAGGGTGAGAGACTGTGAGGGCGCGTGGGAAAGGATGGGCGTGAGGGTCCGCCGCGGGGCTGTCTGTCGACGCGGACAGCTGCTCAGGTGAGGGGGGAGGGAAGGGGGGGGGGGGGGGGTCGTTAATCTACCAAGGCACGGGTCCACTGTGCGGAGGGTTGTGGTCGTTCAGGCGCTGCTCATGGACACGGTTCTGTGAATGGTGTTACGAAGGCGCTCTTTGTTCCCCCGCAGAAACGGAACAAGCCGAAGGAGCCGCCCAAGGTGCCGAAGTCAGCGCCGTTCTTCCTGCCGACCGTGGCCGGCCTGGCGCCGAAGTTCGATCTCTCCGCCGAGCCCACAGATGGCGCGGACGATTCGGCCCGGATCCTGCACCTGGGCGCCTTGGCACCGATCACCGAGCTGGGACGTCTGCTGCTGAAGGCTGAAACGGGCGAACCCGAACATTGTGAGTAGGGGCATGCGCAACGCATGAGTGATCATATATGGGTGTGAGGAGTATGGGGCATATGCATATCACTACACTCTGGCACTCTGTAAGGTGGGACGTAATTCAGCATCATGCCTCATGTTAGGAAATATTCTATTAGATCAAGTATGGTTTGATCCCGTGCGTGACATGTGCTGCTGTACCCAGAAGCCTTTGTTCTGGTGGCAGAAATGCTTCGTTCTTTTGGGCGGTAATATGTGTTCGCGGAAGTCATCAAGCCTCTGTCCTGGTTCTCGGAGCCTTTGTTCTCACAGGTCAGCGAGTCCTAATAGTCGCAGCTCTCGGGGCCTCGTTCTCTCGGGCCGGACAGCTGCAGGTCCTGCTCATGTCTGCTGACGATAGACCAGGGAGCATTCCGTTTCTATCAGTCGTGGCAGCATCGGTGCTCTAGCTGGGACGATAGCGGCGTGTGACTGTCGTGCCCTGACGGCAATGACCTCCCCGGAGACCGAGCCGGCAAACGTGGCCGGCCTAGCAAGTTGAGCCGCAATTCGGCCGAGTTTCGCCGTGTTTGGGCCGACAGTGGCCCGAAGGGACGCCGCCCGGTTCCGGCGCCACTAAGCTGTCCCAGCAGATCAGTTTTGCGAGCGGGAGATCCTGGTGCGAACTCCTCGTGCCATCGAGGCCCGTTTTCGGCGGACTCGCAGATTGCGCGACGGCATCTTGCATGCAGCTGTGTGCTGGCGAGGGCTGTCGCCTGAGTGTGTGGATGGCTGGAGGGCAGTGAATGTCGACAGGTCACGGCAGGCCACGCACCCTCCCCGGTGGTGGGGATCACACGCTTGGAGAGTCCACGCGGCGAGTGACAGCTAAGGTATGCTGTATATATATATATATATATATATATATATATATATATATATATGTATATATATATATATGTATATATATATATATATACATGCATGCATACATATACATGGAATCTCACTAACGATGTTGCTGTTACGTTGGAAATCCATTAACGCGGTGCGGAGGTTTCGTATTACAGCAGACTTATTTGCCACATGCTCATTTCACACACTCAGTTTCTGTGGAAGGAAGGCCGCGTCGTATGAGCTCTCGCATTTGCCGATGACCCACTGTCGTACGGTCATGCTTGAAACTTTTGCAGCGCTGCACTGTGACCGTTTTTAAGAATGAAGCATTTTACTCCACGTTATCTCCCGCCTACTTCAAGTACAACTTCTATCATGCCCTTGTCCTACGCTTAGTTCAGATCATCTGCAGTGTCTTCTGTCAGGGATGACAATTTTACTGATCATTGACCACCAGCTGAATTCTGCTGTGGAGGTTCTAGAACAAACATGCCAGCATTGGCCGCCAACATTGAATATTAGTTGTCCTCTGCAATGTCGATTGGAGTGACGGTAAACACCCGGGTGCTGGACAGATACACGTGGTGTTCATGCTGAGATTTCCGGATAATTATCTCCTGTTTAAAAGGAACCCACCTTGCATCGATGTCGATATTGCATGGGAAGGCGATGCAGTCACCAGCGAGATGATGTGCAAAGTCTCTGGATTTCGTCGGAGAAGCTTCTTGAGCCCAGCTGCTAATTTTACAATCATTCACGAGGCTTCTCTTACGTCTCATCCTATCACGAATAGTATGAATGAGCAGGCATGCTAATTTTACAATAATTCACGAGGCTTCCCGTACGTCTTATTCTATCACGATGATAGAATAATGAATGGATGAGCATGCACTGCGAGCATCACTCACACATGGCTCATAGTGAAAGCATAATTACTATCCCATAGCCTGTTGCATATACGAACGCAGACGGCGCTTGGACGCGGCGTGTGGGTGTGGGCGCGCGAGGCGGTGGTGGACTTGTCGGCGGCGTGGCGCAGCTGCCCCGATGATTGTTGGCCGGCCGGTGCCGGTCTCAGGCGGGCGCTGCCGAGCCGCCGGCGGCGGGGCGGAGGCGCGCCGCCCCCGCCCCGCCGCCCCGCCGGGAGTGTGACCGGAAGTCGGCCGACGCTGTTGCGTCGGGCCGCGCCTGCCGGCCGGCCGCGGCCGGCCGCTGCTGCGGCGCACGTCGCTGACCGCGCCGAGTGGCGGCCAGGCCCGGCTGGCTTAGCCCGGCCATGTGGGGGCCCCAGACCACGTGACCGGACGGATCAGGGGGTGGGGCCGGCGCGACTTAACTCTGCCGGGTGGACGGCGGAGTTCCACGTGACCGCATGGCTTATGTGCGGGTATTGAGCTGGGGCCGCGGTGTGGCGGACCGCGCGGTGCAAGAGGGTCGATGTGTTATGGACACGGCAATGGACTGCTGTCTGATCCTGCGCGCTGACGGACTCTGCCTGTGACTATGCGTGTTAGACGTACAGTTACAGACTGGCGTGCAGCACGTACAGACGCACGTGCAGGCGTATAGTGACGTTACAGAGCGTGTGGTTGCGTGCGTACGCCCTGACTGGCCCGGCTGTGGTGCCGCAGACCGCCCGGCAGTGTGGGTGGCAGTGCGGCCGCCAGGACACCAGGGGCGTGGTTCCGCTGGCTCCGGAGCGTGTCGGCTGGGGCCTGCGTGCACGCGTCTGTTGATGTCCGCGCTGTCCGTCAGTATGGGACCGGAGGCTCCCTGCACCCAGATCTGGTTCACTGAGTCCTACTCTTTGGGAAATATACATTGGATGAAATCGGTCGTACTCCTGTTAATATCCGTGCTCTCCGTTGGCGAGGGAATTGGAGACTCCCTGCATCTGTCTCAGGTTCGGAGAGCCGTGCTTTCCGGGTATTTTGCCTCACGGTTGGTCGGTCGCCATATATCAGAGACGTACCTGCCTCGGAACAGAGTCGTTTTACAGCGATGCCGGTGATTACCTAAACGATACTTGCAGCGCGCCGTCGTTACCGTCGGCCGGCCGGCTCTCGGGGCGCGTCCATTAGCGTCCGATCCTCGGATATCGGGCGGCGGAGTCACCTGATCCGGTCCTATCCATGCTGGATCGATCTCGCCCGGTCAGCGGTCCTCTCCGGTTCTGTCGTGCCGGTCCGCGCCGAGCCCCGCTCTGGAGCCGGCACGCCTGGGCCGCCGTGCCCCGCTCTGGAGCCGGCACGCCTGGGCCGCCGAGCCCCACACTTGAGCCGGCACGCCTGGTCCGCCGTGCCCCGCGCTGGTGCCGGCACGCCTGGGCCGCCGTGCCCCGCTCTGGAGCCGGCACGCCTGGGCCGCCGTGCCCCGCGCTGGTGCCGGCACGCCTGGGCCGCCGTGCCCCGCGCTGGTGCCGGCACGCCTGGGCCGCCGTGCCCCGCTCTGGAGCCGGCACGCCTGGGCCGCCGAGCCCCGCGCTGGTGCCGGCACGCCCGGGCCGGCGCGGCCGCACTGCAGGCCGCCGGACGTCTGGACGCGGCAGGTTCTCGCGGTGTTTGATGGCGTGATGTGGCCAGCTGGCGGGATGGGGCGGGCGGGCCAGCTGGGACACGCGCGGCGGCTGACTTTTGCACCGCTTGTGGCCGAGCGCGGCTGTTGGGGTTAGATTATGGTGGATTGAGTGGATTGTTGATTGGCCTTAGCGCATTGGAGGCTAGTTGAGGTCCACTAGGAAAGCCGGTATCCTTCATCAGAGATGCAACACTTTATAATAACCCGAGTCGTTCCCCTACCAGTACTTGCTTCCACGCAGCAAGGCTCGCCTGGTACCGGCACTGGTACCAGTTTTCAGTGTGGTGAGGGCAGACCAGCATTCTTTGTACCGGCAAAGTCACAGTATTACTTGATCTAGGCACCACCCAGGAGCCGCTAGCACCGATTCAGTACCGGCTGCTGGATCCAGGGAACCGGAATCGTGTATGTCAGATATGCATGCTGGTCGGTGTCGGGCGCTTCGATATTTGGCCGTCTGTCCTCCTGCGTTAAAGCAAAACTGCGACGTTGGCTTTGTTCGGCTGCTACTATTTCAAGCTGTTCAATTTAATGCTGCTGAACGGCTTTCTTGTTTTAAGCTCGCCCCAAACCGGCTTCGTTCAGCTCCAAATGGGTGCCGTTGACTTGTCGTGATATAATGCCTTCGGTTCGGTTCTAAACACGGCCTTTTGTGATCGGTTGAACGCTTGGAGGGCCGTAATATGTTGCCCAGTTGCCTTTTAAAGAGCCTTTAAAAGTCGGCGGCACGGCTCTGTTTTGCAAAATCTTGCGGAGTCTGCGCGGTTAAATACTACGGAGTGGGTCGGATAGAAGTGGATGTAGACGAGGAATTTCCGCTGTGCGATGCATACGAACCAGGCTTTCGTGCAAGGCCTTGTGGAACAATATAATCTGCATTTTGACAAAATTGGTGGCGTTCGGAAAGCGAGTCGATGTCGCCTCCATGCGCTTAACACGCACACAAACACATCATGCCCGATGTGGTCAAAGCTCGTGGCCCGTTCGGGGTGTGAGGTGGCCAGGGAAAAGAGAGGGGACCCGGAAACCATGCTTGCGGATTTCATCATCGTACGCTGCCGTTAGCTGACGTTTCGTACAGCGCAATTTGCCGTGTTTGTTGCCAGGGCAACCATGTCGAAGACGTCAAGAGCATGGGCCGAGTGGTGGCTCTTCGTTCTAGAAAACTACAATTGTGATCTACCATTGCGGACATTCCTGCCGGGGCTGACCGCTCACGTTCGTCACATCTTGGATGGGTCATCACTTTACACGTATTGGTTTGGTCGCCCAGCGTGGCGCTTAGGACGTACAGGTGACGCCAGGACCAGGCTTAGGACGTACAGGTGACGCCAGGACCAGGCTTAGGACGTACATGTGACGCCAGGACCAGGCTTAGGACGTACATGTGACGCCAGGACCAGGCTTAGGACGTACAGGTGACGCCAGGACCAGGCTTAGGACGTACAGGTGACGCCAGGACCAGGCTTAGGACGTACATGTGACGCCAGGACCAGGCTTAGGACGTACATGTGACGCCAGGACCAGGCTTAGGACGTACATGTGACGCCAGGACCAGGCTTA